CTTGATCAAATATGACAATTTCTTCCACTCCTACAGACATCAGGGCTTAAAATAGTGGTGCTGTTCAACACACTCCACTTAGAAAGGTACAATAAACCTCAGGATGAGCCAAGGAACTCTGAAAGAGATAAATCCTCATTCCTCACCTGATATTAACCAACGCGTGGGTCACCTTGCTAGCTGCTTCTTTCCACTGGCCTGCATTGGTAGAAAGCCTCAGGACTGTAAAAAAGGAAAGAACAAAGATGTGTCAGACCCCTGGTATAAAACACAAATATAAGGAATGAAGACACATCACTATTATCACTATTATCATTATTATTATCATATTAATTATTAATATTAATTATTATCAATATCATATTAATTATTAATATCATTAATATTATTAATGATATTAATATTATTAATATCATATTAATTATTATTAATATCATTAATATTATCATTATTATTATCACTATTAGAATAACCAAACGGAGCCTGGGCCAATCTTCTATTTAAGACATCTTCATCTAGGGAAAAAAGTAAGGGCTTATTCTCAACTATCTTTACTGCAAACCTTTTCCTCTTTTTTTCACTTTCTATCAAAATATTCTACTCCTCCTCTGCCTTGGGTTCCCCTCTCTCCACTCCCTGCTAGTTTTTGCATTCATTTAAAATCTACACTGGGGTGTGATGGGTCACCTGATTGCCACATTTATCATTTCCCTGGGGGGAATCAGGGATTCCCTGGGAATCACCTGGGGCTGATTTAGTGGAACTGGCCAGCTGAGCAAGTGCCCCCTCCTGCTCCACATACAGTATGTCTTTCTCCTGAAGGTCTAAGCCGGGTCAAACAGGACAAATACCCTTGCAAGATAGATGGTCATGTTTCAATCAAGGAGTAACCTGTTTTAGCTCCTCTGACTTAACTGTGTGCCCTGCAACATGAATCAACAGGAATATTCTTTCCTTCTCTGACCAAAGTCTGTTTTCCACCCTTACTCACAGGAGAAGGAATGATGGAAATACAGATCATCATATCCTCTATCAGCTATGAGCTTCATGGTCACACATTACAGTACCTACACTATTTTAGAAAAGAGACAAACCAGCACAAGTGCTCCTTGAAAGAGCAAGCATATGGTGGGCACTCCAAGCATATGTTTTTAACGAGTGAATAACTAATATGAGCTAAACATGTAGCTAGTTTACTATGTGCCAGAAATTGGACAAAGGTTATATGCAATGCAGCATACATATGAGACTCAGAGGAGACAAATAATTAATTGATCAAGTTCATTCACAGAGTTGTAGGTAATGGAGCTAGAATTTAAACCTAGAGAGAATGGTTCTACAGCCTGTACTTACACAATGAATGGTTAAGAGTGTGAACTCTGAAGCCAACTGTCGGAGTCCCAGTCCAGCCCCTGCCACTTTACTAGAGAATAATACCAATACTTACATGAAAGGATAATCATGAAAATCAAATAAGTTACATATAAAGCCTTAGATCAGTGCATGGCACATAGTAAATGTTATATAAGTATTAGCTATTATGAATTTAAATAGACTTGTCTCCCAAACAAATAAAAGAATGTACCTGAGACTTTCTCAAAGGTTGGAAGTCACAGCCTAAGTAACATTAAGAAATGTGTAATCAATCTGCATAGGAACTTTACACCTGAGTACCATCACTACCTACTCCTGACCAGTATTCCTCTAGCAAGAAGAGTAGTAGCAGCAGCTTTACTAGAGGGAGGGCCTATAACTGTAAGAGGGAAAGAAAGTTCATCTGGCTGCTCTGCATCTATTCTAGCAATACTTCATTTTTATAAATTCATGCAATTTTATGAAATAGAAGATGGAAGCCTTAATAAAACATTATCAGAGAGCTGCTTTTCTAATTTACAAGATTTAGTGAAGGGGAACTTGGTATAGTTTCAAGTTAGAGCTCTACAGTCTGAACTCAGGTTTCACCTAGTGTTTGTGCAAATTTATTCACGTAATGAACAAAATTCAAGCAGGTCAGATGTATTTTTTTCAACTCAATTACAGAAACTGTTTACATGCATCTGTTTTTCACTAGACCCTCCACTAAATCATAAATCCTCTGATGGTGAGGACCTATTGAGCTGAATTTTACTCTCCTTACCTCAGAGAGGTATTTAACTCTGTCCATGTATTATTTCTCTGTTAACATCCTGTCACTTCTGTTCTTAGTGAACAAGCACCCAGACCTCATCACTGCATTTCCCTTGGAAATGCCATAGGCTTTTACATTCTTTTCTAAGTTACCAAATTTAAACACAAAATTATCTCAAAATGCCCTAAATGCCTCAAGCTAAGGTTATCATTTATGTAGTAAATTATGGTACACAAAAATAGCACACCATGTGGCCATTAAAGAAAGAGAGTTAAGTAATAGCAAAAACTGGAAACTGTAATTTCCATGAAAAGAAGGAATGGTTAAATAAACTACATCCATACTATGCAAAAAACGAGAGCGAGAGGGAGAGAGAGAAAGAGACCTAAGAAAACAACAAAAAAATAGGAAAATGTTCTGACGGTTTAAAAAAACACGAAATAGGAAAACATAATTACAACTATGTAAAACTATGCATACAAGTAGACTAATACACAACTATGAAAACAGTGGTCATACTAGAAAGGAGAGATTGTAAAAAAATTTTTACCTTGCTTTTTCTTTTCTAATTATCTTTTTTTTTTAATGAAAAAAACAGCTCAAAATATGGTATCATTTATGGTTCAGGGCAGCTTGTGTCGAGGTCCTTCCTATTCAGTGGATATCACTGCAATAAATTAATGCCATAGGAATATCAAATGTGTGCCTTTATCAAAAAAGTCTCAGTGAGCCTTCCTCTTCTAGCCATGATGGAATATCAAGACATAATTAACCTTCCTACCTCAAACAATAGAAAACTGAACAAAATATATGAAACAAGAGTTTTCAGACACTGGACAACAAGTATATAGAACTGTGATCCCTGAAGAAGGAAAACAAAAAGGTGAACCCTATGATTACCCCAGCTTACTATGTGAAAAAGTTTCTAGCCTACAGGGCTGGGAGGAGGAACTTAAACAGAATCCAGAAGTCGTGCCAAGCCAAAGACATAGAGATGAGCAACTGGGCAGGCCAAGGCACCTAGAATTTGTGGGGTACAGTACTGACAGGAAACTATGGAAGTCTGTAGAGGGGTCCTCTTCCATCTTTTGCTGAGCACCGATCTTCAGGGAAGAGGAAACTACCCAAAGCTGGCAGTGAAGAACCACTGGAAAAGAGAAGAAATTGTGGCGCTCATGGAAGGCTCCACAAATAAAATAATTTGCGTCTCTACCAGCAAGAGTGGAAAAAGCTACTGATACATGGGTTATCAGGTAGAGTCTGCAGATGGGTACTGCACTAGTAATGGGGCCAAATTAGCCCATAATAAAAGTTGCTCTCAACCTGCCCTAACAACCCTTAAAAGCAAACCCTAAAAGGATGAAACTGATTCCACACAACATAATTGCATTCCAGAACAAAGTCCAACATTATATAAAAAAACATAAGAAAATCAAGCACTTACATTAACATTACAATGTTATAAATCCAATTTAAAAATTACCAGCATTCAAAGAAGCAGAAAAAAATATGACCCATAAGCAGGAGAAAAGTCAGTCAATAGAAACAGATCTAGACATGAAGAGAGATGATGGAATTAGCAGAAAAGGACATTAGAACAGCTACTGTAAATATACTCCATATGCTCAGGAAGATTGAGGAAAATATAAACATGATGAGGAAAGAAATGAACATATTAAAGAAAGAAGTCTAAATAGAACTTCTAGGGAAGAAAATGCTTTATGAAACAAAAAAATACACTAGAATGAAATGAATTGAGATTAATGAGATTAACAGCACATTAGAAAAAACACATAAGAAAAGATCAGTGAATTTGAAGACTGAGGAACAGAAATTATCTAAAATGAAAGACAGGGACTTCCCTGGTGGCACAGTGGTTAAGAATACACCTGCCAGGCTTCCCTGGTGGCGCAGTGGTTGAGAGTCCGCCTGCCGATGCAGGGGACACGGGCTTGTGCCCGGGTCCGGGAAGATCCCACACACCGCGGAGCAGCTAGGCCCGTGAGCCATGGCCACTGGGCCTGCGCATCCGGAGCCTGTGCTCCGCAACAGGAGAGGCCACAACAGTGAGAGGACACAGATTCAACCCCTGGTCCAGGAAGATCCCACATGTTGCAGAGCAACTAAGCCCGCGAGCCACAACTACTGAGCCCGTGCGCCACAACTACTGAAGCCCATGTACCTAGAGCCAGTGTTCTGCAACAAGAGAAGCCACCACAATGAGAAGCCCGTGCACCGCAATGAAGAGTAGCCCCCACTCACTGCAACTAGAGAAAGCCCATGAGAAGACCCAATGAAGACCCAGTGCAGCCAAAAATAAATAGTATATATACATAAAATAAAATGAAAGAGAGAGAAAAGACCAAAAAAAAAATGGAAAGAAAGGAAAAAATACCCACAGAGCTTTAGTGACCTATGGGACACTGTCAAGAGGTCTAACATATATATAATTGAAGTTCCAAAACAAGAAAAGAGGAGAGGGGACAGAAAAATATCTGAAGAAATTAACAGCCAAAACTTTGCCACATTTGATGAAAACTAGAAATCCACAGATCCAAGAAGCTCAAGAGACTCCATGAAAAATAAAGAAAACCATGTTAAGGCACATGATAAACTACTGCAATAAAGAGAAAATGTTAAAAGCATGCAGAGAAAAAAGATATATACAGAGAAATGAAGCTAAGAATGACAGTAGACTTCTCATCAGGAATTATGCAAGCCAGAAAAAAACAAAATGACATTTTTTTAACTATTGAAAGAAAAATTCTATATTCAGCAAAAATGTCTTTAAAAACTGAAGATGAGACTCCACTTCCAGTGTGGCAGAGTAAGCCTACTTCAGCCTCTCTCTCCTGCTGATTACAGTTAAAAATCCTGTATAAAATATAAAAAGTATTACCTGAGGGCTCTGAAAATTAAACAAAAGCAGACAGATTATAGAGGGGGGTCAAAACTTGGAGAAACACCCACAAAAGTGGGTTTCCAGGGTTTCTTTTTTCCTATTTTTCTTTTGCAGGTTTGCCTCAAGATCCAGACAGTCACAGAGATGCATGATAGAGGAGTTGGGTGGATGACTAAAACTTCAATAGAAACC